GTGAATCCTCTCACCCTCCGCATCTCTGGCCTGTACCCCAGTTCTATACGAATAAATAAATAAATCTTTAAAAAAAAAGAAAGTTTGTAAGGTAGAGAAAACACAACTTAAACCCCTCCTGACTGACATGTTGCACATATTGATGGCTGTAGGTCTAGCAAGGAGGAACTGACAGGCAAGGCTTCTCTTTCCTGGTTCCATAAACATACACTACAGGTAGGTGCTCAGTGCTGGGAAACTCAACAAGGTCCTTCATGCCCTGCAGGGACACCACTGCTCCTCATAGCTTGACTCAGCATGGGGCCCATGTTCCCATGATGGGGACTAAGCCAGCAGGGTCTGACTTTGAGAAGCTGTGTTTGACTTTGAGATGGTTTGAGGAAACTATGAGCTCCTCAGAAATTCCCACGGTCGAGGGGGCCATGTACAAGCTTGGCCGGTGAGGAACTGAAGTGCTCTGAGGTCACAGCAAATAGTGGACACCAGGATTTAACACCCCAGGGTCTCAACTCCTCATCCTGTTCATTCCCTTTTTATCACATACCTGCTTTTCTTTTGAACAAGCACTCTGCTTAGATAATAATTCCAGAAAGTTCAAAAGACTTAAAAAATGAACCTTTAAAAAGTAACGTTCCTCCCTCCATTGCCTGCAGTTACTGGCTTCTGTCCCCAAGGGGTTTCATCACAGGGACGGAAGCCCAGTCCTGCCATTTGCCAGGCAAGATGCTCAGCCTTTCTGCTCCCGGCCAGAGGCTCCCATCCCAGTTGTCAAACCCGGAGTCAAATGACCCACCTGCACAGGTGTCACAGGTTGAATGCATCATGTAGGGGCTTAGGAAACACACAGTACAGGCTCCTGATGACCCCTCCCCCTCACACCGTTGCCGCACACTTAGTGATGGCATGCCACTCACCTCCCCCTCCTTGGTGATCTGTGAGAGCTGGCTCCTGGTCTACAGTAAAGAGCCTCCTGACAGGCTTCCTCGAATCTCACCAGGCCCTTCCTTCCTGGTGGGCAGCTCGCGCTGCCCCCTGGCTGCATGGCAGCAGAGCTATGCCAGCTCATTGGCTCAGGGGCAGAGCTGCTACTTCCTTTCCTATAGTCTCTGTACTTCTGGCAGTAAGTTATATAGCCATGATACAATTAAGTTTATTAAGTAATAAAAGCATGAGTGTCTGTCTTTAAGAAATTTCACTAGTTCCACTGGATATAGATATATTTAAAAATAGCATTTTCTAAAATAACTGGGTTTATTAAGAAATTGTTACTCTTTGGCCCTCCCTGGTGGCGCAGTGGGTTAAAGTGCAGCACTGTGAAGCTGGCTGCGGCTGCGCTGCGGCTGCTTCTGCTTCTGCTTCTGCGTGAGTTTGATCCCCGCCCCAGAAGAGCACAGCAGACCTCTCCTGTCTCACCCGTTGCTCCCCTCAGCAGTGTACTTCGTCAGTGCACCTGTTCTGCTCCCCATTCTGTCTCTGACCGCCCCTGCACCTCTGACCTATACCCTGGTCCTCTATGCATAAATAAATAAATCTTTTAAAAAAGAAAAAAGTTGTTACTCTCCATCCGTGTACCCTTAGGACGTAGGGAACCCCAGCACTAGCAAGTCACAGGTCAGGGCTTTGACCCAGGGCCATCATATAGTGTGGGCGTCTTGATGACCTGAGGATCCAGTCAGCCTGGAGAGGGTACTTTTGACCCAGCCTGCTTAACGGGGACACGGCCTCTAACTGGCTACTTGGCTTTTGCTTTCAGGGGAACCAGTTGGGCCTCATTTTCTCATCCGCGGGACCCAGGAGTTAGTCCTGCAGTCTCAGAGGTCCTTCCAGTTCTGACCCGAGCTTTTGTTGCAGGGGAGTACTGGCCACACTGAGGTGAAGAAAGGAAGGACGAGTTAGACTGGGAAAGTTGGGGATTTGTTAGGGAATGACCCGAGGGCCAGATCTTGGCTGGGTAGTGCAGGTGAGGGGAACCACCCTGCTTTATGCCCACGAGGTGTGCAATGAGCCTGCCTGGGGACTGCCCTCTTGTCCACCAGACTTAAGTGGAGAATGAAATTTATTTTACAGAAGTGAATGTAGCAACCAGTCTTTACTGCCAATCAATTAAGGCTTTTAGAAATGAAACTCCTGGTATCTGTGTACCTTAGATTGTGTCTCTGGTCGAGACACAAAGTTTAGTCTCAGCAAGATTTTGCCCCTTGAATCTCACTTTCTGCATTTCTCTAGGGTGATTTCGTAGCTCTGCTGTCTGATGCAGCAGATATCATTTTAGAGTGAGGATCCTAATTTGGGGGACAACTCCCCTTCTGTCCTTCATGTTTCCTAGGGAAGTGCCCGACAGGGTGGCATCACTATGAGGGCACCGCCAGCTGCTACCGGGTCTACCTGAGTGGGGAGAATTTCTGGGATGCTGCACAGACCTGCCAGCGTGTGAATGGCTCCCTCGCCACCTTTTCCACTGACCAGGAGCTGCGTTTTGTCCTGGCGCAGGAGTGGGACCAGCCAGAGCTGAGCTTCACTTGGCAGGACCAATACAAGTGAGTACTGGGGTGGGGGGCGGGGAGCAGCGCTTGGGATTGGGGCCCATGTTCTCGCCCAGTGCAGCCAGTGCTTGAGAAGAGAGCAGCTCTACCCCCCATAGCAAATAGCGTCATGAGTCACTTGACAGTGTTTTAGTCCACAGCAGCCCGTATGCGTGACAGTGGTCCCAAAAGCGGCACCTCATAGAGCCTGGGTGTGTAGGAGGCTGGGCCATCTTGGGTTTGTGAAATTCACTTTATAATGTTCACATGACAAGAAAAGCACCCCATGATACATTTCTCAGAACATATCCCCATCTTGAAGTGATGCATGAGATTTGGGGCTAAAAGTGGGCATCAAGATGGAATTGGGGGCTCTTAGAGGGATAGGCCTGGGGATTGTTCTCCTCTGTAGGTTCAGGAACAGTTACAGGGTACTGGACCTGCGGCAGGGGAGTCTTGGTGGCAGGTTTTGTGGGCTGATGAGAGGGCCTCACCAGTGGGCAGAGATTCCTTCTGAGAGAGTGGACTTTGCCAGCCTTTTCCTGAGCAAGGATGTAACTGTGGGGTCACACTAGCTGGGCCCTGGTTCCAACCCCCCCAAGCTCAGCAGCATTGAGAAGAAAGTATGGAAACTGCGACATTCCCCAGGCCCAGCATTTTGGGGGTAGGTGTGTGCTGCCCCAGGAGTGACGGGGTGTGGATCATAGAGTTTGACAGCCAGCCCGTGCTTCCTCCCAGTGATGGCTCAGGCTGCACTGCCATGGGGGCACAGTGGCCTGCAGCATGTAGAGACAGAGCAGAATCCTCATTTTAAGACCTGACTTGTGGTTTGTACCACAGATGGGTCTTGTGAGACCGAACTATTTCTCCTTCTGCAGCTACAAAGTGAGAAAAAGGGCTCCTGGCTGACAAGGTTGTAAATCTGTGGAGAAGTGAGAAGGCACAGCCCAGCAGTTGGGGAAGCGCTCCTGTCCTCTAGCTGGGAGTAGGCATGGCAATAGGCTGAAGGGGCAGAGTGGCACTGTGCCAAGGCTCCCAGAGTGACTGTGGCCCTACTGCCAGAGAGCTCCGAGGCTGGGCTGGAAAGCTGGGGCTGAGAACACACTCTCAGCCTGTGGTTGTGGCAGTCAGCCAGATCAGTGTGCCTGGCCCCTCGATGCTATGATGTGTGCAGTCAGGTGCACACTGGGCGTAGGGACTATGAGCTGGACACCACAGGAGGCTGTGCACAGTGCGACTGCTGTTAAACACATGCCAACTACATGGCTACTGCCTCGTTGAGGCCTTTTCTGTTTCTGCCTTTTTGCAGGTTGTGGGTTGGCTATCAGTATGTTGTCACTGGCCGCAACCGCTCCTTAGAAGGTCGCTGGGAGGTAGCATTCAAAGGTAAGCCTTTCTGATCTTTCAGAAGAGTCATTGAATATGAAATTGGGAGGACATCGTATGCCTAGGGTGGGCTCCCATGTGCATTTACATCTGTGACTCTACTCCAGGGATGGCCTTCTGGGTCTCCAGTCACACATTCCTGGCCTGTCCCGCAAGAGAGGAGTTCTGCCTCTGGGATCCTATCTACCCAGCTTGTCAGCCCAACCCAGGTGACTGTGACCCCAAACCTTGACAGCACCAAGTCCTGGAGTGCTCCAGATGGGGGCCACTTCTGCCCCAGAGAGCCCTTCATAGCATGTGTACTGAGAATTTGAAAAACATCAGTGTTTGCCCACACACTCTGCACCAGCTCCCCTCACCCCTGTCCCAACCCAATCTTTACTGCAAACAGTGTCACTTCAGTTTCTGGCTATTCATACTTGGTTGTTTTTTTTAAAAATATGAGCATGAAAGCATACCATGTGTTTAATATGTCCACATGTTGTATAGTTGGCTTATTAAAGACATGCTCGGTACTTGTACCCCTACTTGTTCCCCCTGTATCTCAGCATCTGCACGCTAGGGGCTCACTCCTGATAGTGGGTTGACCAGGTGGACCACTTTGGAGAACCTCCATGGTCTCTGTCTTCTGGACAATGGTATCTCATCATTTATGTCTCTTGCCTGTGGGACCTGCCGGTGTGACCTTGGATCCAGAAGCCTCTGTCAGCAGGCAGGGAGAGTTGATAGGGGAGAGGGCCAAGACCCAGGCTGGCCTAGATGGTGCAATGTAGAGACTCTGCCCTCCAGGTGAGGACCCTACAGGTGAAGTGGAGTTAGCGAGGTCAGGATGAAACTTTGCTGAGGGAGACAGTGCTGAGAGAAGGGTAGCTGCCTTTAGTAATGGCACATTTGGGAACATCCACACAGCTCCTGATGGGCCCAGCACAGACTCATTTTAGGGGTGCTGTGATAACAAGATGGGAAAGTGAGGCCCTGCCTTGAGAGGCTGACAGCCTGTGAGTGTGGGCAAATGACTCACTGGGCAGAAGAGTGAGAGTTACCCTGTCACAGGGGATGAGGGAGCAGGGCACAACACAGAGCGGTGGGAGCGGCTGCCCAAGAGATGTGCAGGAGGAGACAGGATGATAGGAGAGTTAGGTTGCACTGCTATGTTCAGAGCAGCTTTGTGCAGAAGGAATGGGCAGGGCATTTGGAAACTTTGCCGCCCATTTCTCTAGCTGAAGTTCTGCTGCACTGGATGAGCAGGGAGAGGTCTGCAAGTAGGGGTATGTGGTACCACGGCACAGCACTCCTTGGCTGATGACTTCCAGTTAGGATAACTATTTGTGTGCCATCTGCAAACACTAGTCCTTTCAGCAGCACAGGTGTCAAGGGTGACGGTTATTTAGGAAGCAGTAGTGGGCCCTCCCTGGTGGCACAACGGGTTAGGACCCAGCACAGCAAGCGAGCCGCAGCTGCTTCAGTGCGAGTTCCATCCCCAGCCCCGGAGGTGACCCACATGGCGCGGCAGACCTCTCCTGTCTCGCCCATGCTCCCTTCAGCAGTGTACTTCCTCAGTTTGCCTGTTCTGCTCCCCGCACTGCCTCTGGTGAATCTTCTTACCACTCCTGCACCTCTGGCCTGTACTCCAGTTCTGTATGCATAAATAAATCTTTAAAAAAAAATCTGAGCTATGGTTTTCAGCTCTCTTGTCACACCCTGAGACCCACTGCCTTCATCTCCAGGCCCCAGCTTTTGTTTTTTTCGGTAGCAGCGATGGCCTTCTAACATCACATATACTTCAGTTAGTAGGTCTTGTGTTCGTCATGTGACTCCATTCTTTCCATTCCACTCAGATGTATGCTCCACAGCTAAGTGTTTCTCTTTATTGATGTGCCCATGTACCCCGAATGCCTGTTTATGTGAGTGAGGCCTGCTAATATTTGTTAAATCAGCAAGGGAGGGTGACTAGGAGACTGTGTTGGAGCCCAGGGGCTGCCCTCATGGGGTGCCTAACAGTGCTACAGACTCCATGGGTTAAAATAGCACAATTTACTGTCAGTTCTGACAGGGTGTCAGGGCAGGAAGGGGACACGTTCCCTTCAAAAGCTCTAGGAGAGAATCCTCACCCCAGTTTTAGTGCTGCTGAGAGTCCTTGTTGTGGGCAGCGTTCCTCCCATTTCTGTGCCTCTTTGAGTCCTCTGAGCCCCTCTTAGAAGTATACGTGTCATTGGATTTAGGGCCCACCCTAAATCTAGGATGTCTTTACCACAGTAACAAGTGAGGCATACTCTGAGGTCCCAAGTGGACATGAATTTGAGGGGGAATGCTGTTCAATCCCTGAAGTTGATAGTTGAAGAAAACTGCCTTTTTTTTTAGTTGAGAATTTTTTTAGTTGGGAATTAGCCACCTTTTTGTTGCCAGAAGAGAACGGATGAGGAAATCTTTAAGAAAATGGAATATGAAATGTCATAAGGGAGGGCAAATAAAATGAGGCAAGGGGGGAGTGGCCTTCACAGTCGCTGGTTTCAGGAAGCTTCAGCCCCCCAGTCTTGGGGTGAACTGGACTTCTGGCCAGTAGCACCAATGAGGCCCAGGTGTTCCCTTGAGCCCCTCTGTTCACTTTCTGCTCTGTGCTGTTGTATTGACAACATGCACTGAAAAGTGGGAGTCGTGGGACAGCCTGTACAATGCAGGATGCTGCCGAAAGAGCAAGATCCTGGCTTTTTATTGATAGAATAATCATACAGCATCATTTACATGGGGTAGGAGATCAAAGAGAAAGGGTAGGGGAAAACTGAAAATGTGTTTATCTCATCTAAGGCTTTAAGGGGGTGAGTCTGCTGACCAGGTATTGACAAACTGGTATTGGAATGGAAACCTGTGGCTCCAGTCTTTTTGACAAGGCATCCCACTGGTCAGCCTCTGGGACTCAAGGTCATACCTGTTGATGGATACCTATTGCCCCACGGCAATCAAGCATCCTGTTGTTTAATTTGGAAGGAGCCTTGAGGGTATGGTACCCTACATTCTTTTAGGTCAGATAACTGACTGGGCTTTTCTGACCTTGTATTGGAGGGCAGAACTGGATGTTACAAAGATGGTGTCCGAGCAGGCTGTTTGAGTTTAGCAGGCCCACACTGAGCCCTCCATCTGTGTCTGACTTGGTGGGGCCTAAGTCACCAACTCTTTCCACCCCCACCACCCCCCACCCCATACACACAGGAAAATGGCTCTGGTCTGGGCAGCTGGTGGGTAGGGGGCCTCTGTCCTGGGCCTCTGTCCTAAGAAGTCATTTGTGACCATAGTCTAAGCTTTGCATCATGCACAAAAATTGTGCTGAGGCTCTGGGCTGGCAGTTAGACTCCTGGCCAGATGGGAGGAGTCTACATTTTCATCCTGTGAGATTAGATGTCAAGTAGTGAACAAAACAGCAAAAGGAGGGGAATGCACAAAGGGTACCTAGGTCTCATTGGGGAGCTGGAGAAAAAGTAACCAGGATCAAGGATGGCAGGGTACCCACAGCAGCGTCTGTGTTTCACAGTGGAGAGAGCTCCCCCTTGATGTCTAAGCTGTCCCTAGAGAGCCGAGCACACCCTGACCTCTGCCATGAGCCTCCTATGAGCCTGACTGTAACAGACCAACCCAGACTTTGGACCTTCAGTGACCCAGGTGGAGGTGCACTGCCCCTGGCTATGCCTGTCCACCAAGAATTGGCCTTCCATCCTTTCCCCAAGGGGCGGCTCCCCCCAAGCCCACTTTCCTGGTCCTATCAGCTGGGAGGCCACGTTCCCAATCCAGGGACTGCCCTGCCTCCAAATTTGTCCTCTCTTCAAAAGGGACCTCCCTGCTTCACTTTGGGAGCAAGTAGAATTCAGCAGGCATGTATATGCTTATTCCTTTTTAAGAGTAAACTGCACTGTTAGTAAGTGATCTTGGACTTGATTAACTTCAGGGAACCTTTTGGTGGCCCTTTTTGGAAGGCTTTTGGGACTGCCTGTGCTTCACCTCAGAACCCCACCTCCTGGGATGCAGCAGAAGATAGGCTTAGAGGTTCACAATACTCCTGCACCCCCACACTAGGCTGCAAGGGGAGCACTTTCTGATTGCTTGGTCCCCCACTTGGAAGACAGGAGCTGAGTGGGTGACAGACGCCCTGGAGCAGGGAAGAAGGTCCCTGGAAGCCAGAACTCCTAGTGGGCCTTGGAGATTCCTGGCATGGCGATGGCAGCTGTTCTAATTAGTTTCTGTTTGTTAGTTGCTACTCTGTAGAAAGGGAGAATGTTCCTCTATCCTCTTGTTTGTTCATTTATCAGTATGAACATTTTGACCCTCGGTGTTAACAACCCATTACTTTGCTCTTCATGTCGTTCTTCTGTTTTTAAACATGTCAGCTAGGCACTCCCCTCTCCTGGCTTTCGCCTAGTTTCCCTGGCTCATGTGCTTGTCTCTCTCTGGCTCTTTAGAGACTGGGTCCCATCAGCCAGTGCCCAGTGCTGCACTCAGAAGAGCCAGGTGTGGTTAACAAGCAAGTGAATGCTGTCGCCTCAGTAACTGCTGACACTCACTGGGCCACACACTGTGATGATGGTCCAGGTTAGGGTGCCTTTGGGCCCTGTGAGGACGCATTCGATTCCTGTGTGGACATTGTATTATAATGGCCATCCCCCCTTTTCTCCCACCATCACAGGTTCTTCAGAGGTGTTCCTGCCCCCAGATCCCATCTTTGCCTCGGCCATGTCTGAAAGCGACAGCATGTTCTGTGCCCAGCTCCAGTGCTTCCACTTCCCCACTCTCCGCCACCATGACCTGCACAGCTGGCACGCCGAGAACTGCTATGAGAAATCTTCGTTTCTGTGTAAAAGAAGTAAGCCTCCTTTGGTGCGCTGTGTCTGTAAGCCGTGAGGAGGAGACCCCTCGAGAAGGTGGCGTTCTCACTCCTGGACCTTCCTGGAGACCTGGAGTGGACCTTGGCCTGCCGGTGCTCTGCAGCGGGGCCACTTGATAGTGGTGTGCAGCCCTGGTGGGCTCACACCTGCTCGAGGAGGACAAGTGCGGGGGCGGGTGGCGGAGCCAGGGTGAGGGTGAGTCTGCTGAGCTGCTGTTCAGCTCTGTGACTGGGAGCAATGGGCGTATCTCTTTTCCAGGGTAGAGGCAGTAATTCCTGCTCTCTGGGTAGAACCGCAAGCATCGTGACTGAGGGTTTCTTTGGAACTTTTGACTCCTTTGGTCTCCTCCCCTGCTCTCTGCTATTCCCTCCTGCAGTCCTGGCTTAACTTCTTTGCCCCATCTAGACTATTCCCAAGCCTCAGTGTTCAGTACCACAGCCTTTATCCCTCTGCCAGCAGAGCGGAACTCCCTCAGCAGCCACACCGTATGTGTGAACAGGGGGTGCCACAGGGCTCAGCATCCCCTGTTTGGACCAGCTTCCCCTTCCGTGTGGATTTTTCACAGGTGAAGGCTTTTCGTAGATATCTGGGCTGAGGCTGGTGGATTAATGTCCATTTAAAATGAGAAATAAAACAAATCCTCTATGCATTTTGCCTAGTTTCTTCAAACAAACATTTTCAACACCATAGTATGTCACATCAGGGTTTTGACTTGGACCTAGCCCACTGATCTTATTCAGCTGTCTGCAGTCTCTCATGAGCATCTTTGTGCGTGTGTGAATTCTATACTATTTTATCGCTCACTCAGGTTCCTGTATCCACCAGCACAGTTAAGAGAAGAGAATTTCAATATCAGAGAGATACTGCCTGCTGTCCTACATACACCTGCCTCCTACCCTTGCCCCAGCGTTAACCTCTTGCAATCACTAACATTTCTAAAATATTTTCATTTCAGTCGTGTTAAAGTTTGAAGGATCATTCTTTTGATGTCAAGTCTCTAAGAGACTTATATTCTAAAAGATTTCTACAAGTTATAGCTGCATATTTAAGTCCATTTCCATTTTGAGTTAAGTTTTTTTTTTTGAGGTGTGAGATTTAGGTCAAGTTGCATTCATTACCCTGTCTAACCTTGCAGGTTTGGCTTTTTTATTCAGCGTAATTCCCTGACTAGTCATTCTAGTTCTTAGTATAACAATGGTTATTCCATTCTATTGCTGACTAGTGTTTCATGGTGTTATTTCACAGTCTGTTTAACCATTCATCTGCTGAAGGACATCTGGGCAGATTCCAGTTTTTGGCTATTACAGTTAAAGTTGCTGAGAACACTTTAGAGAGCTTTGTGTGAACATAAGTTTTCTTTTATCTGAGATAAAAGCCCAGGAGTGGCATTGCTAGGTTGTGTGGTAGTTGGTTGTTTAGTTTTTCTTTTTTTTAGAAGCTAGCAAACTTTTTAAGAATAGATGTACCACTTTACTTCCCACTGGCAATAGTGAGTGATCCAGTTTCTCTGCATCCTTGTCAGTGCTTACTGTCCTCACTATTTGTGCTTTTTAGCCATTCTGAGAGGTATGTAGCACTCTCGTGGTTTTAACTTGCACTTTCCTGAGGGTAATGATGTGAAACAACCTGTTATATGTTTGTTCTTTCTGTCATCTTTGATGAAGTGTTCATTTGTCCATTTTCTCATTGGATTATTTTTTTTAACTGTTGACTTTTAAGAGTTCTTTATGTACTCTCTGTATATTCTTTATGTATTATATATCCTAGTCAGATGTTATTTGCAGATATTTTTCTAATCTGTAGCTTGTTTTTATTTTCTTCACATAGACTACGCTGAGCTGACATTATAAATTCTTATGAAGTCCTATTTATCATTTTCAATCTTAAGGATCATTCTTTTGCTATCAAATCTCTAGAGACTTATTTTCTAAAAGATTTCTACAAGTTATAGCTGTATATTTAAGTCCATTTCCATTTTGAGTTAAATTTCTTTTTAATAAGGTGCGAGATTTAGGTCAGGTTTCATTGTTCTCACCTATAGATGTCCAGTTGGTCTTGCACTTTTGTTGATAACTTGGCTTCTCTACATTCAATTACTCTGTGCCTTTGTCACAGTTTAGTTGTGTGGTTATTCCTGGGTATAATTCTTGATTCTCTTTTCTGTTCCACTGATTTGTCTGTTTAATCCTCTGCCAGTATCAGATCATTGTAATTACTGTAGCTGGACAGGTGATACCTCCCACTTTTCATGTCAGCATTGTTTTAGCTGTCTTAGGGGCTATCCTTTCCTGTATAAATTGTAGATTAAGCTTACCTGTCTACAAAAACCTTAATGGCATTTAGCTAGCAATTGTATCAAACCACTAATGCAGTATAGGGAGATTTATATCTTTATTATTTTAAATCTCCAATCCATGGAAGAGGTATGGCGTGCCTTTCCATTTACTTACTATTTTTTTCTCACCAACATTTTGTAACTTTTAGCAAGAAAATCTTATAGTGTATAAATCTTACTTTCTTTGGAGCAATAATAAATTGTGTTTTAAATTTTGACTTATGCTTATTGTTAGTGACTTTTGTGTGTTGATTTGTGAATGTGAAGAAATGTGATTTTTTTGTGTGTGTTCCAGGTACCCTGTGACCTTACTGACCTCACTAATTTAGGAGTTTTCCTGGTAGAATTCTTAGGATTTTCTAATACATAGCCATGTCATCTACAAATAGAAATGATCTTACTTCTCACTTTAAATCCGTATCTTTTATTTATTTATCTTGCCTTACTATAGTGACAAGAACTTGCATCAGTATGATAAATGAGAATGGTGAAAGCAGAAATCCTATACTTTATCCTTATTCTCATGGAAAGGATGATCAACTCTTATTTTCACTAAGTGTAATGTTAGCTATAGATTTGGGGAGTGATGTTCCTTATCAAGCTGAAGTAATTCCCCTTTATTTTTAACTTGCCAAGAGTTTTATCATAAATGAGTATTGGATTATGTCAAAAAACACTTTCTCTGTCATTTGATATGAACACTGAGAGTCAGAGCTCCTTGTTGGTAACACATACCTGTGTGCATGTGTGTCTGTTGCAGGTCAAACATGTGTGGACATCAAGGACAATGTGGTGGATGAAGGGTTCTACTTCACCCCTAAGGGAGATGACCCGTGCCTGAGCTGTACCTGCCACGGAGGGGAGCCTGAGATGTGTGTGGCTGCTCTCTGTGAGCGACCCCAAGGGTGCCAGCAGTATCGCAAGGACCCCAAGGAATGCTGCAAGTTCATGTGCCTGGACCCAGGTGAGACTGACAGTGGGTCACAAGTCACCTTTTCCCATTCAGGATGGAACCTTGACAACTCTTGGTTTCCCCAATGACCCATCCCACCAACGTGAGAGCATGTGGAAATATATGTCACGTAATAGGCCAGTACGAGTTCTCTTCCTTCTTATCAGGCCTCTGAGAGTTAAGTGTCCCACCCTCAGCAGCTTTCTAGCAAGCTCCTAATCAAGCCCTGGTGTGCGCCAGAGAAAGTGGGCAGCCTAGGAACATGTGGGCACTGTTGACTTCTGGGGCCAGACACTGTTGTACACAACAGGAGGCTGTGTGGCATTTCTGGCCTCTCCCTCCTAGCTCTCAGTTGCACTTCCATCCTCCAAGTGGTGGAAAATGTCTCCAGACTTGCTAAATGTTCGGGAGGTGGGACATGAGCAACAGTACAGAGTCGCCCCAGTGAGAACCCTGAAGCCAGTTTAGGAGTGAGGTGACAGTGCCTGATTCTCTGCCGTAACAGTGTGGCTGGGGCAGAGGTGTACAAATAGGGCGCCCTCGATGGGACCCTTAGTGAGCTTAGGTAGAGAGATGCAACAATACAGAATTTGGGGGCAGAGGCCCACACCCACCACCCTGTTGCCACCTGGTCCAGGGCCCTACTTCCTCTGCACTGAGCTGTCTGGGTGCAGCCTTATGGAAGCTGCCTCGCCACACCAGGCCTCCACCACCTGGCCTCCACCACCTCCAGCCAGAGATGGCTGACAGCAGGGAAGTAGCCTGTCCAGCCTCGCTCTGACTGGGACCACGATCCAGGGTGGAGAGCAGCAGAGCGAGTGAGTCAGCAGGTCGTCAGGACTTGCTTCACATGTGTCTTCCCGCCAGGCTGAAAGACTGTTGAGTACCACAATCATGCACACACTCCAGGACTTTCCAGGACTCCCCACCAATGGAGAGGTTGGTAGGAGGCCAAGAATTAGAACAGCCACTGATCAAGAGCCCAAGAGGAGAGTAGGAGGACTCTGAGGGGCCAGCGGGGGCCCATTCATCCCCTCCTCTGGTTACCTGCTGAATTACAGATGACCCTGGCCTCCATGTGCAAGCACTGTGAAGGTGGGGTCCACCCCAGTGGTATTAGAGTGTAGGTCTGAATTCAGGCCAGTAATGCCGCCTCCTGAGCCTTAGTTTTCCTCCTGATGGGGTCTTGGTGATGAATCAGAGAGGTACCAGCTGCTGGGGCGGGATGCATGATCCTGTTCAATGCCTCCTGTCAGGTCCCTGTTCTGGCTTTCTACATACCCCTGCAACAGGGGCAGTGGAAAGATGCAGTGCTGTAGGGAAGCACTGAGGAAGGTGTGTGCACCCTGGGTCAGCCAAGAGGGCATTTCCATCACTCCTTTCCCTGCACTCACCAGCAGAGGGCAGGCTTTGGCATCTTGGGGTGCCTGTGAGGCCCAATAGTGGGTGCTACGTAGCAAAGGTCAGCACCTGAGTCTGGAGAAGTTCCTTCACATGTGTGCTGGAGGTTGGTGTTAGGTGGGTTGTGTGTGCTTCCCCGGCTGTGGCTTAAAGAATAGATTTCAAGACTCCTTCACAGCCTCAGTGAAGTCTCGTTTGCAAACAAGGTCTGAGTGACTGTCCTTTCTCAGCCACTCCCTGACCCTTTATACTTAACTCCTCACCCAGTCTGTCAGCGAAGCACATAAATCCAAGTCCAAAGTGGCTTCCACTCTTTCACCTCTCCCATTTGGTACGATACCTAGTCCAGGCCACTGTTATTGACTCCCCTAGTTGATGCAGATGCCTCTTCACTGGCTTCCCTGACCCTTTCACAATGCCCCACACACACTGCCTGAACCAGCACCCTGAGGTGGCATCATACTCCGTTCCAAACCCTCTCCGCCCTTTCCCTGGCTTTGGTCCCGCCTCATACCCACCATTGAACTGGACACCTCCCACCTTTGATCCTATACCCTTCTTTTCATGGGATTTAGAATTACTTAATGTTGGTGCCTCTCACTCACATATGTGGAAGTTCAGTGAGGACTCAGAAGTGGCTTTTTGGCCTCAGCTCATCTCCAGCATGTTCAGATTTGCCCTGTAGAATAGGGAAGGTGCATGTTTGGTGCTAGGAGAAGGATGTGTGGTCTCTGCAGGTTTCAGCACCCTCCCTGAGCCTGCAGAACACTGCTCTCACTGTCTTAGAGACATCAGTGCTGGACAGAGGATGTTTTCTTGCTCTCTGGTAGTCACCAGCATTTGCACATGGCATTCCTCCTAGGCCTGAAGCTCTTCAAAGGAATTACTGGGTCACCCAGTGCACAGGAGCCAGAAGTCCCCTGTGTGGCCTGGAACAGGGAGCTGTCAAAGTGGGACATTTCTTCTGACAGTGGTGCTTTTCTCCTTGGGGTGTTTCCAAAGCATTCTTGATTTTGAACTCTTTTGTTTCTGCCTTCTATTCTAAGATACTGTTTGGTGTAAGAACACAGGAAACAAATGTGCCTTGTCCATGCATCTGGCCTAGTAGTGGAGGGTCATGGTAGCCTTGCAGTGCTAAGCAGCGGGATCAGGATATTTTCCAAGAATGGCAGGTCTCCTTCCTCTCCTTGTGACAGATGGCAACAGCCTGTTTGACTCCATGGCCAGTGGAATGCGTCTGATTGTTAGCTGCATCTCCTCTTTCCTCATCCTGTCGCTGCTCCTTTTCATGGTCCACCGGCTGCGCCAGAGACGCCGGGAACGCATTGAATCCCTGATCGGAGCGAACTGTGAGTGCCTACCCTCGAACTGGAAGCCCCTCTCCAGGCTGTGACCCCTTGGGTGGGGGCAGGAGCAGGCTAGGAAAGAAACAGGACATTGATGAAACATGCCCTGGCATTCCACTCCTCTCACTCAGCTGCTTCTGGGCTGAGCACACACCTGGGTCACTGGAGCAGCCAGGAGTGAGACCACAGGTGCACGGAGCAAGGGGTGTGGCACTGTGCCAACTCCCTGGGCTCTTCACCCTTGCCTCAAGCAGGAATTGCAACCACCGTGCATTCAGTCAGTGCTGTCATCCTTTCCTGTGGCTTGGGCCCTGAGTGGAAGCCTCCGACCAGGAGGTAATCTCCCAGAGAAGCATGGACAACTGTGGCTGGGCTAGGCCATTTAGCGTGTGTCTCACCCTCCCCAGCAGAGTTCTTCCACAGTGGGCCTGGTCCTCCACTGGCCACTCGGCTGTGGGGTGTCCTGGGTAGAGCTTCCAAAGTTACCCTTGCCTTGGGCCAGCGCTCCACTACTCAGTCCCATACAGTAGGGGAGGGACAGGTGCACACTAGTGGGGGGATTCAGAATCAAGGTGGTAAAAATGCGGGGAACTGCATTTGCTGCAGCAGGGACCCTAGGTCCCTCCCAGGGCGCCCGGTTGGGAGAAAGCCCCACATTCCTGTAGTCCTGCTCCCATCTGGGCCTGCATGACTCCGCCTAAGAACCTCAGTTCTCCTCCTATTGTCAGCTAGGCAAACTCCAAAGCCGTTATGGGTTAGACACTCGGAAATACAGAGTTGGAAACTTGGGCAGAAGTAGCAGGATTTTGTGACAGGTCCCATTGGTAAGGGCTAGAAATGCCCTGAAAGCGAGGAGGATCTGGGCAGGAGACAGAGCTCTTGAGTAGGCAGCTGGGAGAGGATTGACATTCGGAATGCCTGGCGCCCTTGGCCTGGGGTGGTTGGTCCAGCTTTGGAAGAGGGAGGGGGCTCTGGCTCAAGAGCTGTGCCTTCTTTGAGTTGACATGTCTCTGTTACATCTTTCTTTCAATTGCTCAGTGCACCACTTCAACCTGGGCCGGAGGATCCCTGGCTTTGATTACGGTCCAGATGGGTTTGGCACAGGCCTCACACCACTACATCTTTCGGATGATGGAGAAGGTGGAACTTTCCACTTCCATGACCCTCCGCCTCCCTACACTGCTTACAAGTACCCCGATCTCGACCAGCCTGATGACCCGCCACCACCCTACGAGGCCTCCATCAACCCAGACAGCGTGTTCTATGACCCTGCAGGTGCTTCCCCTGGGGAGAGGGGGCAGCTGTCACCATCCACCTGGCATGTGGGATCGCAGGACTGTGAACCCCCACTTCTTTCCAGCCTTCTGCTTTCTCTTTGGTGCTCCTTTGCACATCAGTGGACAGACCTCCCAAGGTGGCACATACGAATGACTGCAGCAGTCACCCTGCCCCTTGTCTCTTGTCCCATGAACACGTGTTAGTGAGCAGCCCTCAGGGCAGCCTCAGCAGGGTTCTGCAGATCTAGAAACAGGCACTAGGGGTCATGGAGACTGCGCTCACCCATAGCTCCAGGCGCCAGATCCACCCAGAGCCAACCCCAGGCCTGGAGGACATGTGTACACGTCTGGTGAAGAGACACTGTTGTGACACGCCTCATGTTGGGAGGCAGCTCTGAAGTGGGGAGAAAGTGCTGGTTCTGTGTCGTCGGGCCAGATACTTGAGTCTGTTGTCTATGATACTGTGGAAAATCATTGCTCCCCAAACATGCAGCAGAGAAGTGCCGGCACCTCACCCATTGCACCGGTCTTTGTGGCGGGTACCCCCGCCCACTTCCCTGTGTGCCGCACCCTCTACCACACACAGGCACACGGCCGGCCGCCATCATGGGCAGCTCAGCACAGGCCCACGATGCCTCATTCACACACTGGTGCAGAGTGGGCTTCAAGAGGCTGTTTCTGTTTGTTCGTTTGACCAGCTAGTCCCTCTTGTGTCATCATGTGCAGGACTGAAAAGACTTCAGTTTAACCCTGTCCTTGGGACACTGCTGTCAAAGGAACCAGGATAGAATGAGCTACTTGCAAAGGACGCCATCAGGGCAGAGTTGGAAGGTCCAACTCGGTGGACCAGGCTGCAGAGGAGCAGAAGCGCCCTAGGGCAGGCCAGCAGGACACGGGCTAGGGTCATGAGCACTGGGGCCCCGTGCCCTGAGCTTTCAGAGAGGCTGTGCTAACCAGGAGCAGGCACGCTGATGTCAGCAAGTTTCCAGAAAACCTTCCTCACGCCTGAGCGCTCTGCAGACCCCTGCATGTTTTGGGGAGCTGCCTCTGCTGGCTCTGTCTCCCGCTTTACGCCTATTTTGCAGCTGTAGCTCCTGCTTTGGGGGCCATGCACCCTCATGCCCCCTGCCAACCCCCAGCCTGGAATCTCCCTAATATCACATCAGGCCTGCTTCAAACCCCACTAAGTCTGAGGGTTTCCCCCCATCCCCTTGATTCTGGTGACTCTGTCAAAGCTTGTCCCCAGCACATACTGTGGTTTGCTCACAAATGCCCCCCACCCCCATATACATCGCAGCAGTGGGAACATTCTGGTAATATTTCCCACTTACTTACAGCCCACCTTCTTCCCTCAGGCCAGACCCCCTTCTCGCTGACACCCCTCTGTCTCATCCTGCAGATGATGATGCCTTTGAGCCAGCAGAGGCCAGCCCACCCACTACAGAGGATGGTGGTGGTGAAGATGCGTTGCCCCAGCACCTGGAGCAGTCTTTGCCCCCAGGGACATCCCTGGCAGACCTAGAAGACTCGACTGACAGCAGCAGCGCCCTGCTTGTGCCCCCTGATCCGGCCCAGAGTGGGAACACCCCAGCCACGGAGGTGCTACCAGGGGGCGGCCGCCATAGCCGCAGTGCGCTCAACACCATGGTATAGAGATAGCCTGGCCTGCAGCCCCTGTGTGGGGAGCACCTGTCTGCTGTTTACCAGACGCTGATTCTGCACGGAGACTTAAGGGCCCCTGAATGAGCCTGGACCCAGCTGCACTGCTGCCCTCCCACCCACAGTGGCAACAATAGACCCACTCGTCTCGCAAGGGAGTGAACACCTGACGAGGTCTCTTGAGGGCTTCAAAAACATGTAGTGTGGGTCACTGTCTTTTACTTTTGAAATGGCAGAGTGGCAGTTTATTCAGACCATGCGTTTCAAAAGTAGGGAACAAAGGAGGCGCTGTGGGCTGCTCACTGAAGCACACCCTCTGGAAGAGCCTGCCGACCAGTCACTGAGCCCAGGGCTGCTGGCACGCGGGGCTGCCGTGGTGTGCGTCCCTGGCCGCTGCGAAGCGGGCAGCCACCAGGTGCTGGAGTGTGTATGCACTGTCAGTATTTTCTGGGCCATGGGTCTCTCTCTGGCTGCTCTCGGGATCGCCCCCATGGGTCCAGCTGTGAACATTCAGGATGACCCTGGGCTGGGGGCTGACTGACTGGTGCATCTCGGAAGGAGGTTGAACGCTACACTTTGCAGCTGAACTCTGCAAGGCTCAGTTCTGTGCTAGGAGACCTGGCCTCACCCCACCCATTTTCTTCCCAGCATTGCTGTGCACGGCTTCCCCAGGAGGCAGCTGGAGTTGGGTTGAAGCCCTCGGCCAGGCCTGAGTGTCCTGGCCCTGGACTGTCTGCTGGGGCTCTGGGGACAGTGTTATCTCCTGTCTGCTACACTCCACAGCCCACCTCCTATTGAACTTGACCTGGGCCTAGCCTGCCCCCTCCCCACTTTGTGCCATAAGGATTGTTTTTGGGGGGAAGGAGTGACTGAAATTAACCTCCTGGGCTGTCTCCACCCCTTGTAAGTACACTTCTTGCACACCACCACCACCATTGGAGCCACTTGCTGGAGGTTGCATGCCCCTTTCTGGCCTCCCCAGCAGCTTGGGGGTGCTGGAGACCCCGCCCTGGGGCCTTTGATTGAGGGACCCTGTTGCCTGCTCCTGGGCAGAGGTCTTATCTCCTGACACAGGGCTTTTAGCATTTCTGAGGTTTGGAGATTAAGCGGGTTCTGTGCGATTTTTAGCACATTCATATCTTTTCTACATTGAATGTCTGCATCTTTTGTGTCTGTGTTTGTACGTACATGTCCAGTGTTTGCAGGTGATGGTGGTACACGGGAGCTGGGAGGTGGGAATCAGCTATGGGTCTCCACTGTCCTGGATCACCCATGGTGTTCTGGGCAGCCCTGAGGCCAGGCCAGGCCTGTGCTTCTGCAGAGCCCTGCAGCCTTTCCAGACCGGATGCAGTGAGGGGAGAGCTGACTTGGCATGGGTGTTCTGTGATGCTTTGTAGTAACAGACCTCATCCAGTTCTACATGAGTTCTCACACTCCGGTTGGAAACCCATTTGTTCTTCCAGTGTGAAGTAAGAGTCTTGAATTGCCCCAGCAGATGTGACTTTCATCCCCAGAGCTGGCCAGAGGTGAGTTTTGTCATCTAACTGCCTCTGGGCTTAACAGTCATAAGAGCCAGAGTGCTAAGGGGTGGGAGGGACATATGCCTAGCAGGCCCACATACTCCTTGCTGAGGTGATACTCCTTTAATGGCATCGTGGGCATGTGTGCTCCACGTTGGCTACTGTAAAGAAAGCAGGAGGCATGTTGAGCCTCCAGGGTGCAGGGCAGCTGAGGTCTGAAACAACCACTAGAGGCCTTGGTGCCAAGGGCAGAGTCCCAAGTGTGCCTGCTTTGGAGTGTCCACCCTGCTGGAACCTAGAGGGGCCTGCCCTTAACAGCTCAGGGTCCCTCCTAGCTCCCTTTTCTCAGCCCCAGGCTTCAGAACTGCAAGGATAGGGCAGCTGGCACCAAATGTGTGGGATGGAGGTAAATGCCTTGGGCACTGAAAGACTCCTGGGACCAGCGAGGTGTGTGGAGGGCACTGAGGAAGGTGTGACCTGAAGCAGACCATGGGGGCTACCGAGGGTGGCGCTGCTTCTGGACCCCGCCAGGGGTCTGTCCAAGCGCTCTCAGCAGACACTCTCTGCTGGGAGAAGTCCTGTGTGCAGCGTTGTTCCACACCCTTACTCACTACTCGGGACCTGAGTGCTGCTGGAGGGTGACTGTGACAGGAAAACGGGTCTGGCCAGCTGTCCTCTGCCTCCTGTTCAGACATCCTCTTTATAAAATCTGATTGTGCTCCATGGTCTGATGAGAAGTCCAAAGGCCAACCCTGGCTGAGCCTTGAGTCCTTGTGAAGACTGGGCCCTGCGCACGCCATGCACATTGGGCCCCAGACCTGCCTGGGGGGAGTAGATACTGTACATTGTCTCAATGCCTGTTTGTTATGTTTTCACTAAGGGTTTTTAGTTTGGGTTTATTTTGGTTGGGTTGGCACTAATCTTTCTTAAGATGCTGTGAGAACCATTTCATCCAAATGCCAAATAAATTTGTGTTCTGGAAGAGGTGTGCTCATTCTCTGGTGTGACCCAAGTGGGAATGGGAGGCTCCAGCCGAGTTGGGGCCGGGCACAAGTGGGTGGACTGAGGAGTGGTGCCAGGGGCAGCTGAGGGGCTCTGAGAAACCCCCCCTGACCCCCCACCCCCATGCCATCTGTTCTGCAGTAGTTGTCCTTTCTGGTCTGCCATTTCCTGATGCCTGAGGCATTTAGCCTTGGGTGGTCTGCAGGTTTGCCTTCTTAACCCTTCTTCCTGGCCAGCGTGCACCACCAGATGGCCACAAACTCTGGGCTAGGAAAGGAACCAGTGAGTCTCTTGGCAGGGCTAGGAACTTCATGGAGGTGGCCCCTCATTCCTAAACAATCTGCTAGGCACCAGGGACAGTGTTCCACAGGTTAGGGGCTCTTTCCCCCAAGGTCAAGAGAGCCTTGGCATACACTTGGGATTAAATGAGAGGCTGGTACAGATGTTCCCTCTCCCCTTCATTGCAGCTCCCCAAACCTGCCTGCCCAGTTGTGCTTACATGACATATGTGGACAGACCCCTTTCCAGATAGAGTATTTTTCTCCTGGCCACTCCAAGGGGTGGAGAAGCAGAGCTCATGGGCTCAGACCACAGCAGTCTGCTGTACACCAAAACATCCAATGCTGCCTTGAAGGACGATGGTCCAGGGCAGGGCTCATCTCATACTGGCTGGCACCAATAGCGGGCTGTGATCTTAAGGATCTGAGACCTGCCTTCACTGAGCCTTTCCCACTGCAGTCTAGCAAATCAAGAACACTAGAATCCAGGGTGCTTTCCCTCTTGAACTTCCATCCTTGCAGGTGGCCTTCACAGCCCATCCTGGGCCCCAGCTTTTGTATCATAATTTCAGGTGGACATAAAACCCATTCCTATGCTTATTTGAGGGTATCTGTGTAAAACACAGCTTAGGTAGGTGCCAGCGGTTGTTGGAGCCACAGCCACATTGTGGCCCTGGTCCAGTACCTGTGATCTGGAGTTCAGAAGGCCACCTTCCCTGTTGGAGACCTTGGCTGGACACTGCCCCCTTGTGGTGGCCAGACCTAGAGCCCACAAGTCCTGGGGTCTTAGCTGTGCCCAGGCCACCTCACAAAGAGGTAAACAGCAGCCTTGCTGGCCACCTTGCCAACAACCCTTTCACTCCTACCCCCCACCCGCCCCCATCAGCTGCAGCCACAGCTGCGCCATGTTTCCCAGGGCTGGCACTCACTGCTGTGCCTCTCATGATGTGTGGATCCAAAGGGTACACACCAACACTGCCTACCTGAACCCAAACCCACCCTCTCTGTCCACTCCCCCTTAGGTCTTTCCACAGGGGTTTCTTGAAGCAATAGATATTGCAGTTACAGCTACAGGAGGGGGCCTGTGCTGGCCTCCCTGGCAAAAGCCCCAAACTCCTGTTTTTGGACCCTGGCTGGGATGGAATGAGAAGTAGGCCCAGATGGCAGTCCAGACTCAGCCCACCGCCGACTATCCTCAGGCAGTAGTGCTTGCTGCTGCTACTCTCGAGTGAGGTGAGGACAATGTCAGGTTGCATGAACTGTTTTCCATGGTCAGCAGACTGGTGCCAGTGTGCCCTGGGGGAGCTCTGCACTCCATGCTTCTCTGCAGATGAGGCTGCCTTCCAGGCTGCAGTGATGGCTAGTAGGCAGCACACAGGTACGTCAGGCTATTATGTCATGGTTACGATGGCCTCCGGTCCTGCTTGTGTACCAAGCTCCTTGTATCAGGCAGGGCCTGTGTGCTCTGCAGTGTGGCTGGCCCACGTGGGAGCAGGTGCTAGAGGTCCTGAGCTGGGTGGGGGTGGGGTAACTGCCTTCCGCCCTAGTTCCCTCTTGGGCAGTCTGCCTGCACGTTAGGGCATCAGAGCGTGGCCCGAGGCAGGGGATCCCTGCCTGTGGATAGTGTTGCAAGCATTGTGACTAACCAGACTGGGGAGGGAGAGCATTGTCAGTGGTGATCTGTCCAAGTGGTGGTGGGGGGCGCTTTCTTAATCTGGGCTCTTCCCTGGCTATGTGTGAGGAGGAGGATCCTCCTCTGCTTCCCCGAGTGGCCTTTCTGTACACCCTACAGACCCCAGGCCCACCCACTGGAAGGAGATGGCCCCTGCCTATGGTGGTCCAGCCCAGCCCCCTGTCAACACCAACCTTTTCCTGGTCCAGTGGCACCCTGCTGTGGACCCTTCATTCTCCTAGGCTGTGACTCAGCACCTCCAGGTCCATCAGCCCTGGAGAATACATGGGTTAGTAATCTGGGGTCAGGACTCCCCACAAACAGGGACACGTACTCCCTGCAGGGGGTAGAAGCACACAGTTTAGGGTCTCCCACTGGAGATGAGGTGACACGCAGGAGGACTCACTGCAGGGGTCAGGAACCTCTACAATGTCACGGACCCTCACAGTGGGTTCGTACATGAAGATGAAACCCATGTACGAATCAAAACTCCCCAGGTGACTCTACACAGTGATCAAGATATCTCCAACAGGGGTCAAGAATACTATTTAATGGTAACCATTGCCCTAGAGGGCCAGAAGTCACAACTCCCCCACAGCAGCAGGACCCCCCTCAGAGAAGTCAACCCCATCGTCTCACTTAGTGGTGGCAGTCAGTCAGAGCTCAGCCACAGGAGGGCCACCCTGTGTCCTAATGGCAAGAGGAGGGTAGGTGGGGGGAGCAGGGGTGTTGTGCACTCTCACCTTCAGTGCGAAGGACACCGACCCACAAGGACACTGACCCACAGAGCCACTTAGAGACATGGGACTCTGGGCTGCCTCTACCTCCTGGGCACTCCAGCTATACTTCCCTTGGGGAGGACCAGGGAACAGGCTCAGCGCACAGCTGAGCTGGCAGCACCAGCCCACAGAGGTGGGCTCTGGCGTGGGGTAGTGGGGAATGCTCCATGAAGGCTAGAGGCTTATGGTGGGGACAGCTGGATACCTCCCTTGGTCTGTGCCTCCCCATAGACATGTGGTCCACTTGATGTCCCAGGGCCTGGGGGAGGCCCAAAGTCACCCTAGTAGGATGACGATGCTGGCCACGCTATTGACAATGTGTGCTCCATGACTCCTGTGGGTGAGAGGGAGGGGCTGTGTGACTCCCGCTTCCCAGAAAGGGCTCCTAGGAGGTCACTACAGTGGCCAGAGTGAGTCTGGGGGTCTCAGAGATAAGGGTAGGGGTAGGGACTGAGGATTTATAAGATTTATAAAATTTCAAGTGTTCTGTCAGAAGATTGGGCCAGTAGGATGTCATAGACCAGCAGGTCTCTGTGGGTGACTATCCCAGCAGGTCTCCCAGATACCCCCACTGGGAGTCTACTCTCTTGCCACTTAGTGTGTCTCCAGACCTTCCTTGGAGTCTTCCCCTCAGAGCCCTTGTCACTTGGAGTCCCCTCCTAGAAGTGGACTCACACAATGCCGACTTTTCCACCCTTGTGTTAGAACTAAAGAACCCAGTGAGGAGCCTCTCTATGGCACCCAGCCGAAATGTGTTGGGCCACAGAGAAGCCAGAACCAATTCTATTTCCCTTCCACTGCCCAGCAGTTGCTGTGGCTCTGACTTACAACTTCCCTCTGGCCTCACTGCTGCCTGGCACTCTGGACCTCACCTAATACTACTAATCCAGGTCCCTGGTTATGCCACTGAGGAACTGCCATGCTCTGGATAGTCTTTAAGGATGTGCTAACCATCCTTAAGAGGCTGTCACACACACACACAAAAAAAGAGAGAGTGAAAAAGAGAGAGAGAGAGACATATGTAATAGAGTAAAAATGAAAACAATGAACAACTATAAATCAGAGACATTTTATGGGGTGGAAAGGGGGAGGGGATCGCCCCTGGGGTGGGAAGAGTGTACTGGACTGTGGTGATGGCACATGGGTAAATTTGTGGTGGGAAGTCCATGGGGATTACAACTGTGATGAAAAAGTGCACACAATGAAGAATGATATAAAATAATAAAAAATAATAAAAAAGAAAAAACAAAGGCTGTCACCCCTTCCCTGAGCAGTTCTGCCCTCCTCCCTCCCTCTTCAACATCTCCACCATCCTCTTATCTTTAGGTTGCCCCTGCCCAGTTCACCCCCACCCACTACTCTCAGAAAACTTGTGTCCAAAGCAGCCCCTCTCTGGGCACATCTTGGTCTCCCCTGGTACTTCCATCCATATGGCAGGTCTGTCCCCACCTCCATCTTGCCTTGTGAGCTTTGATGGGCTCTGGCAGGGCACCCAGGATCCAGGTGAGGCCTCATTCCACAAAATAAATGATGCATGAGTAGTCTTGGTCTCTTATGGTTGGGGGCTGGTGTGGGGGGAGTGGGTGTGACTACCTCTCCCACAGAAGCAAGTATTCCTGCCCTAAGATCACTGAGGAATCAGTGTGTCTGTCCATACAACCAGGAGAGCCCTGAGCCCTTACCCCACCTCACCACAGCCAGCCCCACCTGGAGCCCCTAGATCTCCAGCGGTACTCAGGGGGAGAGGATGCCCTCCCAGGCTACATTTCTGTCTGAATCCCCTGGTCAGATGGAAGGAAAATGTTAGCCGGTCTTAGAAATGTCACCTACTAAAGTCTAATTTTATACATTTTATTTAAAAATAAGCTGACCCAGGAAAATATTTATGATTAAGTGATGGCTCCAGGTGCTCTCCCCATGGCTGGACAGAAGCTGCTGGTGGCTCCAGGCTCTGCTACAGGCTGCACTGGTTGGGTGAGTCCTGGTGACAAAGACAGCTGGTGAAGAGCTGTCTGACATGAAGTCTTGCTTGGGGACACTCTGGGAAGTGAGGCTGCGGCATCTGAGTGTAGGGACTCAGATGTCATTTTCTGGAGACACACATGTCCAGGTGACTGCCTGTGATGAGGCTAAATGAAGGCATAAGTGTCCTTGGAGTCACTACTCAAAGTGAAACTTTATAGAGTCCAGTACTGCACAGTACTGGAGAGAGGGTCAGTGTCAGTGGAGTGAAGCTAGCCGGAGAGGGCTG